CAAAAGATCTCAAATAGCCAAAGCAATCTTGAAAAAGAAAAACAAGACTGGAGGCATCACAACTCCAGATTTCAAGTTATGTTACAAAGAAACAGTAATCAAACGCTATGGTACTGGCACATTAAAATCTGACACACAGATCAATGGAAAAGAATATAAAACCCAGAAATAAACCCACAACTACATGATCAATTAATCTTTAATAAAGGAGGAAAGAATATGCAATGGGAAAAAGACAGTCTCTTCAACAAATGGTGTTGGGAAAAGTGGACAGCCACATACAAAAGAATGAAGATGGACCATTTTCTTACGCCACACACAAAAATAAACTCAAAATGAATTAAGGACCTATATGTGAGACCTGAAACCCTAAAAATCCTAGAAGAGAGCACAGGCAGCAATTTCTCTGACATCAGCCATAGCAACATCTTTCTAGATATGCCCCCTGAGGTAAGGGAAACAAAAGTAAAAATAAACTATTGGGACTACATCAAAATTAAAAGCTTCTGCACAGCAAAACTAAAAGACAACCTACTGAATGGGAGAAGATATTTGCAAATGACATATCCCATAAAGGATTAAAATCCGAAATACATAAAGAACTTATACAATTCAACACCCCAAAACCAAACAATCTAGTTAAAAATGGGCAGAAGACATGAACAGACATTTCTCCAAAGACATACAGATGGCCAACAGACACATGAACAGATGCTCAATATCACTCATCCTAAGGAAAATGCAAATCAAAACTACAATGAGATATCACCTCCCACCTGTCAGAATGACTAAAATAAAAAACACAAGAAACAAGTGTTGGTGAGGAATGTGAAGAAAAAGGAACCCTCATGCACTGTTGGTGGGAATGAAAACTGGTGCAGCCACTGTGGAAGACAGTATGGGGGTTCCTCAAAAAATTAAAAATAGAACTACCCTACAATCCAGGAATTGCACTACTGGGTATTTGCCCAAAGAAAAACACTAACTCAAAGGGATACATCCACCCCTGTGTGTGTTGCAGCATTATTTACAATAGCCAAATTATGGAAGCAGCCCAAGTGTTCATTAATAGATGAACGGATTAAGAAAATGTGGGGTGGGTGTGTGTACAGACATAAAAAAGGATGAAATCTTGTCATTTGCAACAATATGGATGCATCTAGAGAGTATAATGCTAAGCAAAAAAGTGAGTCAGAGAAAAACAAATATCATATGATTTTCACTCATATGTAGAATTTAAGAAACAAAAATGAACAAAGGGGGAAAAAAGGGAGAGAGGAGGGCAAACTAAGAAACAGACTCTTTAGAGAGAACGAACTGCTGGTCACCAGAGGGTAGGAGGGTGGAGGATTGGGTGAAACAGGTGACAGGGGTTAAAGAGGACACTTATCATGATGAGCACTGAGTAATGTAGAGAATTGTTGATTCACTGTATTGTACACCTGAAATTAATATACACTGTATGTTAACTATACTGCAATTAAGATAAAAAACTTAATAAATATATTAGAAATAATAATGTGAGCATGTGTGGTAGAGAGGAGAAAAATAAAGCAATTGTGACCAACGTTACTAGGAAATATGGGTGAAGGGTAAGTGGGTGCTCACTATTGTTCTTGCAGCTAGAGTTTTGAAATTTTTCAAAATAGCAAGTAAAAATTACAAATATCAAAAGAAAAAAAAAAAAACAAAAGCAAAGGCATACTTTCATATATGTCCATACAGTGGTACCTCTTGGGAGCTGGAAGACTGGGGTGCACAAGAGGGGTCTAGGAAGTTGGCAATGACAAGGTTCTGTTTGCTAACCCGGGTAGAGGTTACATAGATGGACATTTTTGTTTTGTGTTCTTTTCTGTACATGTGTTAATAGTTCACGACTTTAAAAGTTAAATATGTTTTGGGGTGCCTGGGTGGCTCAGTCGGTTAAGTGGCTGCCTTCAGCTGAGGTTGTGATCTCAGGGTCCTGGGATCGAGCCCCAAGTCGGGTTCCTTGCTTAGCAGGGAGTCTACTTCTCCCTCTCCCTCCGTCCCTCTCTTCTGCTCGTGCTCTTTCGCTGGCTCTCTCTCTCAAATAAACAAAATCTTTTTTAAAAAGTTAAATATGCTTATATGCTCTGAATTATTCTTTATAGTACATTTCCTAGACTTAAAGTGCTTGAGTCTAATATGCAGTTTCTGCTTAATGTCTGTATTATCTTCCTATTTCAAAGTCTAATGTGGTCAGAGACTATGTTTCTCTTATTAACCCGTGTCTGGAACAAAGTAGGCAATCATATTTCATTGAATGATCAAATAAATTACATAAATCTCACTTCTAAGGAATTTATTACGAAGATAAAATCAGAGATGTGGTTAAAGATTTGTGAACAAAGATGTTCTGAGCAAAATCTTGGCAATAAGATTAACACTTAACAGGAACTGGATAAGTAAATTACTCCCAATACAAGGAAACAGTGTGCAGTCATTAGAAGGCATATGTTCAATATTCGAAAACAGAAGGCAGAGGAAAGGCTCATGAAAGTTATTTTTCAATTTTAAAAATTTTCCAGGGCGCCTGGGTGGCTCAGTCATTAAGCGTCTGCCTTTGGCTCAGGTCATGACCCCAGGGCCCTGGAATCGAGCCCCACATCGGGCTCCCTGCTCCATGGGAAGCCTGCTTCTCCCTCTCCCACTCCCCTTGCTTGTGTTCCTGCTCTTGCTATCTGTCTCTGTCAAATAAATAAAATCTTTAAAAAAAAAAAAAAATTTCCATTTTTTTTTTATTGTGGCAAAATACACAAAACATTAAAATTTCCCACCTTAACCATTTTTTAAGTGTACACTTCTCCAGTTTTATGTACATTCACACTGTGGTGCAACCATCTATCTCCAGAATTCTTTTCATCTTGTAAAACTAAAATTCTGTACCTAGTCTACATAATCCCCCCATTCTCTCCCCCTTGGTCTCTGGCAACCGCCATTCTTTTTGTGTCTGTAAATTTCACGACTCTAAGGACCTCATCATATAAGTGGAATCATACAGTGTTTGTCTTTTTGTGACTGGCTCATCTCTCTTAGCACGTCGTCCTCATGGCTCATGCACAGCGTAGCGTATCATCAGAATTTCCTTCCTTTTTAAGGTGCATATATATACCCCACTGCGCTCATCCATTCAGCTGTTGATGGACACCTGGCTTGCTCCTCCCTTTCAGTTACCGTGCATAGTGCTGCTGAGAACATGAGTGTACAGTTACCTGTTTGAGTCCCTGTTTTCAGTTCTTTTGGGTACCTACCCATGAGTGATTTGCTGGATCACATGGTAACTCTCTTTCCCATTTTTTAAGGAACTACCCAACTGTCTTCCACAGTGGCTGCGCCATTTTGACCAACTGCACGAGGGTCCCAATTTTCCACATCCTTACCAACGTTTACTTTCTGTTTCATACTAAGAAACCGTTAGGACACAGAACTACAAATGTTATAGTCCCACTCTCATTTTCAAAAAATCAAATTTATGTATGCAAAGAAAAAAAGTTTGGGAGTAAACCAAAATGAACTAACTGATGACATACCTAGATTGAGGGATAAGAGTTATTTTCTGTTCTTCAGACTTTTCTCTATTTTTCCAATTACACGCGAAGAAAATATATTCTTTAGACATAAAAAAAGGCTATTAAAAATTCCCTTGTCGGAGCACCTGGGTGGCTCAGTTGGCTAAGTGTCCAACTCTTGGTCTCAGCTCAGGTCTTAAGCTCAGGGTCGTGAGTTCAAGCCCTGCACTGGGTGTGGAGACTACTTACAAAAAAAAAAAAAAAAAAAAATTCCCTTATCTATGACCACTATTTACCTAACTCAACACTATATGATTATAGAAAAATTAATAAATCATGGTACAGTAAGATTAAATTAAATTTCCTTCTGCTATTTTAATTACCAAAAAGCATTTGTTGTTGGTATAAAAAAAAAAGTTTCAACTCAAAACAGAATTTCAAAGACAAAAGCAGATATGGGCACTAAAGCAAAGCAGGATTATGTATGAAGTTGTACATGACAAGTATTTTTTTTTTTTAAGATTTTATTTATTTGACAGAGAGGGGGAGAGAGACCACAAGCAGGGGGAGCGGCAGGCAGAGGGAGAAGGAGAAGCAGGCTTCCCACTGAGTAGGGAGTCCAGTGCGGGGCTAGATCCCAGGACCTCGGGATCATGACCCAAGCCGAAAGCAGACGCTTAACCGACTGAACCACCCAGGAGCCCCTGACAAATATTTTTTTAAAAAAGATTTTATGTATTCATTTTAGAGAGAGAGAGCATGCTCAAGCAGGGAGAGGGGTAAGAGGGAGAAAGAATCTGAAGCAGACTCTGCACTGAGTACAGAGCCCAAGGCGGGGCTCGATCCCACAACCACGAGATCGTGACCTGAGCCGAAACCAAGGGTTGGACGTTCAACCGACTGACTGTGCCACCCAGGCTCCCCACATGACAAGTATTTTTTAAAAAGAAAATTGAGATAATAATGTAGATAATTTCATGACAAAATTCTCTTTCATTAGTCACATGGCTTCCTTTCCACAAGTGTGTTGTGCCATCATTCCCTTATCAGCAGTTTTTTGCTTTATTTCCTAAGTAGTTCCCCCCCAACCCCAATGCAATTCTACTCAAAATCCCATATAAATGAGACAAGTAAAGCATCTCCAGACAAAGCAGAGGCCTGGGTCCCTGGCACCAGCTCAGCCTCCTCCAAACCCTCAGGAACCACCACCATATAACCGAAGGGCTGCAAAACACAGTGTCAAAGGCACGGCAACACTTGAACTGCGCTGTCCCGTATGTGTAAGCTGCTCCCTACTCTAACATTCGGAGGGACAACAGATTCTGGGGACATTTTCTCTATTTCCTATTAAGAACTAAAGGAAAACACAGACACACAGACACAGATACATTCAGACTCCTCCTTCCATCCTACTTCCATACCACATACTGCATATTTGATGCTAAAAAATTCAGGACCAGTTCCCTTTACCTGGAGCAGTGGATCTCACTGGGGGAGTCTTCCTCTTGGCCAAGAAGTTTCTCAGCTGTGCCTGTTTCACGGGTGACAGTTTAGCTGCAAGAAATTCATGAACCCATAAATGCTTAAGACTTGGTTATTAAGAAGTCAACAGAAGAGGACATAGAGAGTTAAAGAGTGAGAAGAATGTGTTTACCTGGCACTCTGGACAAGGGCTTGGTGTGAGATTCTATGGTGGTTTTCAATAAAGCATTACGGAGACTTTCGAGGTCACTGTCAAAACTGAAAGAGGATCGTGTTACATACAAACCAACTATGACCTGAGAAATCTCCCAATATAAATGCCAGAGATGAAAGCCTCCCCAATACAAAAATAGGAAATCTGACCAATCAACATAATCAATCCAAAAGGAAAGAGATTACAATCTCAATACCTCCCCACTCCGGGGCAAACACAGCACTAACAGCGCTTTTAGCACAAAGGGCAATTAGAAGGTACACATTCAGCCTAAAGGCAGAAACATAAAATCACCCTGGTAACTGCAGGAGTAAACTGTCTAACTGCCAGGTCTGAATGTTTCTACTCAAACAAAATGACAAGTCTGAGCTTCTAGACACGTTAGTGAACCTCATTCTACCAGTTAATTTTCAAAAGAACAATGCTATTTCTATAGGATCTGCCATCATCCGCTGGTACCTGTTTCATCTGGCACGCTGTATTTAACCCTCCAATAATCCCGAGGCAGGTATTGTTACTCCCATTTTTTAGGCAAAGGAACAGAGGATCAGAGAGGGTGAGGAACCTGGCCAGGATCACACAAGTGACAGCAGAGTCACTTTCAAACCCACATCTGAACTACTCTACGACTTCTGCACCTGACTCCCAAATGGTTATCTGTGCCTTCAACCACATTCATCGAGTGCCAGTGGCACCGACAGGCCCGTTCCCCTGCACACCCATGAGTGCCGCTCTGGGAGGTGACATCCGAGGGAAGGCTCCACTGGGAGGTTTGGTTATAGAGACGGAGCTGCTGGAGACTGTCCACTAGGTGATTCAACCTCTTCCTCTGCTGGTTGATGATTTCCCGGTTGTTCGCTAGGGTGTTAAACAATGTCTCTCGCTCTGGCACAAGCAAGCGCCTGTTGACAGCAAGGAGGAAAGAATTCGACATGAATGGTGCAAGGACTACAACTCTTAACAGTGAAAGAATAAAATGGAGAACCCCCAGCGGACAGGCAGCATCAGGAAATTAACCAGAACATAAAAAGGGGATGAAAGCTTTACAAGGATAATATAGAATGAGGAAGGAGAAGCTTAAGGTAAGCAGGCTGGGCCTGTAGCAAAGGATAGCATCATCAGACAAAACCTCACAGATGTTCCGGGGAAGAAAAGGGTGGGAGACGGAGTAAAAAATGGGGCGGGGGGGGGAGATGCGTTTAGCTATATACTTAGGGCTTGTCTATTTTCCTGCAAGTCAATTACACCAAGAAAAAAAGCCCTGGGGTCCACTAGAGGTCTATGGAAATCAGTCATTTCTACAGGGTGCTGTTAAAAAACACTGGGATAAGCTCTCAGTTTAGCAACAGGGAGGTACCCCACCTGAAAGATCTAAAACAAGAAAGGAACAATACCTTTCTTTCTGGTGACAGGACAGTTCAACATAAATTTTTAAAAGATTTTATTTATTTATTTGACAGAGAGAGACAGTGAGAGAGGGAACACAGCAGGCAGAATGGGAGAGCGAGAAGCAGGCTCCCCGCTGAGCAGAGAGCCCGATGCGGGGCTCGATCCCAGGACCCTGGGATCATGACCTGAGCTGAAGGCAGACGCTTAACGACTGAGCCACCCAGGCGCCCCTCAACATAAATTTTTAAAAAGGCATTTCAGTAGGCTACGAGATAATATACGAAGCCTATGATGTGATCCCACAGAATAGCAAGTAAACAGATAATTTCCCGGTTTGTTTCCTTACAGGGCTAATCACACTAATCAAGTGTAGGTGTTTCAGAAGCCGAGCATTTTGAGGGCTGATCTGTTTCTCGGCTTTCCTGTGGGCACCTTCACTGTTCTCAAGATGTACTGCTTTCTATTCCTTCAGGAAAACAGATGGTATACAACCAAACATCCGGGGACAGAAGAGCAGGGTAGTACAAGGCTTTCCTGCACCTTTCTTCCTCTCTTCCAAGTTATCCACACGAATTAGGAATGTTTTCTCAACAAGAAGATTTGGAATATACAGAAAAGTATAAAAGAAAAATTCCTCTTAATCCCACCTCAAAGATATAACTGAATATTGTGATTGATTTATTTCTAGCCTCTTTTCTACGTTTAGACCTCTAAACTGAGATCATCCAGTCTGATTTTTGTCTTACCTCCTTCTTCCGTATTTTTTGGGGGGGGGGGGGAAATCAGTGGTTACACAGTATTCCGCATTAAGCAAAAAATGTGACCGGACTTATTTAGCCACTCCTCTAGCTTCTAGATATTAGGTTGAATCCAATTTTTCACTGTCATATATTCTGCTGCAATATAAATTCTTTTATGTAAACTGTTGCAAATGTTGCTATTATTTCTGTAGAACAAATATCCAGAAATATAGTGACTGGGTCAAAGAGAATGAACAATTGTAGGGTTTTTAATCAGTGCCCCTAAATTATCTGTTAAAAAGGCTACAGCAGTGTCTCCTGCAACCCGTGGTGGGTGAGAGACCTCGCTCACTTTTGTTTTCTCTTTTGTTCCAGATGCCGATCCCATTCCAAGTCTAGCACATCGTTCACATCTTGGACAGCAAATTTCACGTATTGATGAAGGCGCCGAATTTCCTACAAGAAAAAAACGAGAAGGCAAATGACTAAGTTTTCCAGTAGCCTGGAGGAGGGTGTATTAAAACAATCAAAATAATTTTGCAATATTTTTCTACTGAGAACCATAACGAAAAAAAGAAAACGCAAGAGGCTTTAATATAATCATTAGAACGTTATAATTAAAGCAAAAACAATAGAACTCAACCTTTTTAACTGCGATAGAGGAGCAGTTACAAAGCACAGGGAAGCAGGTTGGGTGTGCCGGCCTAGGGCTCCAGGGAACATGCTGTTGCTTATTCTCACTTGTCAGCTCCTATAAAGCAACTCAACATGCTCTAGGAATTTTCCACTGCACTCTGCTGCTCCAACAGCACATCCATTTAGCTTTTGTTCTCCCACCCATGAAATTAACTGTAATACAGACAAAATTATCCTACAAAAGTGCTGAAAATAATTCTGAACCTATGTATTCATAGCATGGGACACCGAAGTCTTCTTACCAGTTGAGAAAAACTCATCTCTTCTCAAAGAATAGTATCAGCACTAGACATGGGACTGACCATTCACTAAAATTCACACCTATTTGAGGCCTGCAGTAATTTTCTTTAAACTTCAGTCTGGTGTTCACCTTCATGGCTACACAACCTGACTCTCAAAAATTAAAAGTGAAATAAAGATGAAGCATTCCATTAAATATGTATACAAAGGAAGACGATGTGCTATGCACTAGGAGTAAGTTTTTACATCTATACAAAGTTCTTACTGTGTTTAACTGTATTTTTGAAATTACTCTTGGCTAAGGGTATATGGACCTAGTGGAAAAAGAGCAAATTGTCCTTTAAAAGGAGCCAGGCTGGGGTGCCTGGGTGGCTCAGTTGTTAAACGTCTGCCTTCGGCTCAGGTCATGATCCCAGGGTCCTGGGATCGAGCCCCGCATTGGGCTCCCTGCTTCTCCCTCTCCCACTCCCCCTGCTTGTGTT